CCGCCCCGCTGCAGCGCGTGCCCAGCCCCGCCAGGTCCATGAGCACCGCCTCCGAGTAGCTGGGCACTAGCTGCTGGTTGGAGCGAATGTGCCATTCAAGCTCCGTGCTGTCCACCGTGTTGACGCGCGGCAGGCGGTGGGTAAGCGGGGGCAGGAGCTCGTCGCTGGGGCTGAGGCCGCCGCCAGCGCTGCTAGCCGAGCCCGGGCCCTCCAGACCGAAGAGCTTCTCCACGTGGTAGTGCGCGTAGGCCGTGCGGTACTCAGCCAGCACGCGAAGGGGCCACGACAGCGTGAGTAGCGCCGCAGCCCAGAAGGCCGACGAGCAGGCGTACCAGGGCGGCCTGGTTGGGTCCGGGAAGGCCACCATGAACTCTCGAAAGTCCACGTTCTTGAGGTGCATGCCCTCGCGCGCCTCCATATAGTCGTCCAGGCCCTCGTTCTCCGCAAAGAAGCGCGCGCGCTGGCACAGGTAGGCGTTCTCAGCCTCCACGCTGGCAAAGCTGAAGCACTTGGTGAAGCGCAGCCTCGTGGCGGGCGCGCCCTCCAGCCCCACCAGCGCCTTGGACACGTCTCGGACGCCACAGCGCGCATAGTCGAACTCGGCCTCTGCTACATGCGTGTTGACACGCTCGTGGTAGACCTGCAGCACGGGGAGGCGGCTGGAGTCCCCAAGAGCTGGTGCCACGGTGCCCTCCTCTATCTGCTCCTGCTGACCCTCCCGACCACCCGTTTGTCCCATTGCTGTTCTTGTTGCCTGGTCCATCCCTAAGCCTGTCCCGTTTTAAGCAGCGGCAGGAGCAGGGAGATCTTACCGTCTTGGCTATGGAAACACTGAGCTCTTTGCTTAATCAGTGAGTTAAGAGATGAGATTGGACTACAGTCAACCCTCCCTGACTGCATTCAGTAAGCTCTGCTTCCTCTTGATCCCTGGTTTGTCTGATCCTTTTCTCACTGCCTGCGCTGCTCCTCACCACCACAAGCTGCCTCCCCGTCTTCATTTTTACATGTGTTTCCAAATGGGTATCCAAAGGAGCCCGGGAAGAACCCCTCTGTCACTAGGCTCCCCATTCTGGCCTTACTTATCACTCAACCTCCTTCTTTCCTCTCATAGGTCCCAGGCTTTTGTCTACTCATCCCAATTCTGAAACAGAGGTCACCAGCACCACAACTCCTCCAGGACCTCACAAGGTCTAATTCTCAAAGTGGTGATTGTTTTGTGGACTCTCCATAAATTCCCCCACACCATCCTCTGGGATGAGTAGCACCTGGGAATCCAAGCACCTGGTTTTGAGTCTATCACTCGGGAGTTGCAAACCTTGGGCCAGTTTCTAAGCTTAGGTCTCCTTACCTGTGAAAGAGAACTCAGTGGCAGTCACCTCACTGAACAGGTGAGCACATGCTGTGAGACTGGACCTGTGAAGTCATCTGTAGCCAATAAGCACTGAATAGTATAAACCTTGGAACAGACAGCTTGGGGCTGACTCCCATCTCGTCCACATGCTAGCTAAGTGACCTTGAACAAGTTATTTAAGCTCATGGGGTCTTGGCCTCCTCATCTGTAAGATGGGGACATACCTTCCTCATAGACTTGCTCTGAGTATTAAAAAAATGCTTTAATATTTGTAAAGTACTCAGAGCCTGGCTCTTTCTGCGTTTGCTATTATTAAGTTATTCTTACCACCCTCTTATTGCAGCACCCATTTGAGCTCACAGCTGCCTTGTGCTCTTTCACACACAGGTGCAAGTCTGAGCACCCTCTCCCATCTTGAATGGCCTGCTCTCCCCTCCAGCCTCTCACCTGGGTAGTAGTGTAGGCATCTCCGTTGCGGTATCTGGTGACCTGACGGGTTCGACGGACATAGTGATAGCTGATGGCCTTCCACCAGATGCAGGGTGTGGCCTGCTGCATGCGGCCCACACGCTCCCGCACGCTGCTCACATCAACACGGTGCTGCAGCTCATGGCGAGCTTGGCAGTGCCAACACTCCACCAGGTAGACGGCGTACAACATGAGCAGGAAGGCCAGGGGGATGTAGACATAGCCGTTGGAGCAGGGGCTGTCATGGTACATGAGGCTGTTGCCCTGGTAGGCGCTGCTGAAGGTGAGGCGGGTCACTGTGGTGACATGGCACCAGGCCACTGCCCCCAGGCAGCCGTACATGAGCAGCGAGAGCAGGAGGCACTTCCAGTGGGACTCACGGCAGAGGGACTTTGTGAAAGAGGGCTGGATGGGACGCTGCTGCTCAGATGGGCAGGGAGGGGGTC